CGAGTCCTCTCAGAGAGGAGAGGGACAGTGTGTCTCTCTTACCCTCCAGTTCCATTGGGGACCCCAGAGAAATTTCCAGAGCGTGCCCCACTCAGGTCCACCTCTTGACTTTTGACTGATAATAGGATGACATCAGACTTTGAAGTCCCCACTGCCGTGACCACTCTAGGTCCCTTTGGCCCATGCTGAACAGTTATCATTGGAACCTGTTCTTACAGATTTTATAGTTAGGGGGAATTTTCCTTGTCTCCCTGAGTTCTGGAGTCTGGTCTGTGTAAGAATCACAAAAAGTTCCCTCCTTCAAGGTAACTAGTGGTGTTCTTACCAGCATTCTTTCAGGCCTTCATTTCTTCCACAGGTAACAAGTAGTTGGATGAGAAATGTTAACATACCATGTGGACTTCAGCCAGTCAGGACTGGAGATAAATTGCTTTTTTAAAGTGAACACTTGTGGGGGTCAGCACACGGGGCCTAGTTTATAGAATTATTCCCTTAATCTATCCCCCCGTCAGCACCCACAACAGTGAAAACACAGGGCCAAAGCACCTAGCTCACCTTGAGCAAGCCAAGGTGTATAGCAAAGAGGGGAAGGCAGAGTTGGGGGGTCGAGATGAGAAACGTCGGGGGTTAGAGAAGGAGCCAAAGCTAAAGTCACACTTTGTGGATAGCACTGACAGGGAAGAGACCAGTAGGATTACGTGCCTTCCTTTTTTCTTTTATGGTTCCTGTTTATGACTCCTCCCTTGCCGCAGCTCTTGAGGGCTCCTTTTTAGCAAACCAGCCCTGCTTCCTCAATTCCATACAAGGCTCACTGGCTGTGAGGGTGGAAAAGAGTATGTGAGAAAAGCTGGGAGAGGACTCTGCTAGGACATTTGGGGTCAGAAATAAATTTGGGAAATATATTTACTGTTTTTGAAAGCATAAGGGAAGTTTCTATGGAACCTGCCCACAATTCTCAAGTTGTGACTGGTTGGTGTCTAACAATTAGACACTTACTTGTGCAGGAAGCTTATTGACAGAGTTTCACTTCCACTTAACTTTTCTTAAAGAAAGCCTTCCATTAGGGTCAGGTTTTTATTAAGAAGTAAGTAGGCTTAGTTCTACTTCAGATTTTTTTCTTTTGGAATTGTAATTAGGATCTTTCTGAGCCTGACTACGTACCAGCCCATCACCCAGCCCCTCTGGGCTAACATACATGATTATTATGGAGCTGGGGCCTTCAAACCTCGATTCTTGCCACCAAGTCAGGAAGATTTCAGACATGTCGCTCAGAGTAACAACCATGAGTTTGTTAACAGGCTAGGGAAAAAGAAAAGGGGACACTCTCAAGGGAGAGAGTGTGTCCTCTCAGAGAAGAGAGAGGGAGTGTTCCTCTCCTGCACTCCGATTTTATTAGGGATCCCAGAGAAATTTCCAGAGAGTCCCTCTCAGGTCCACCTCTTGACTTTTRACTGACAGCAAGGTGACATCAGAACTTTCAAGTCCCCTCTGTCATGGCAACTCTAGGTTACCTTGGCCCATGCTTGACTGGTTCTAATAGGATTCTTAACCACACATTCTTATAGATTTTTATGGTTAGGAGGAACTATCCTGATCTCTCAGAGTTTCAGGATCTGACCACAAAAATCTCTTGGGTTCCTCTCATCAACATTATCTTGGGCCTGTATTTCTCTTGCAGGTAACAGGTAGTTTGCTGAGGGATGTGCTGAGGCCAGGCAGGGCTAAGGTAAATTGCTTTTTGGAAAAGACAGCATGTGGAGGTTAGCCCAGTGGGGCCATTTTACAAAATTATTCTCTTAACCTCATGTTTCCACCATTCATATCTATCTGTCCCCTAACATGATGATCTAGTGTCAAGATTTTATTTGTAGTGCTTATTTGATTGACAATCTTTGTAAAAAAAATGTTGGTTTCATTTTAAATGTCGTCAACAGATGACTCTATATAAATATTAAGTCGACACTTTCTAGCCTCCTGACCACTAAAACTCTCTATGCCAAAAACTAAATTTACATTTCCTCCCAGGCTTACTCCCAGTCTGCTTCCTCTATCAGTAAATGATACAGCATCCATCCCCTGAGTCTCAACCTAGAACCTGAGAGTCAGTCAGCCTCCTCCTACTACTTTGATGACTGGCCTGAATATAACCACAACAGATGTACAACTGGTTTCACAGAGAAAAAACAAAACAAAACAAAACAAAAAACGCACTCTATACTGTTTCCTTTCTCCATTTCTTTTTGTCCCCCCCCCTCTTGTTTCTTTCCTAAGTCTTCTTTCTTTTCACAATTATTTATTGAGTACCTGTTACATACCAGGTACTTTTCCAGGTACAGAGAAAACAGTCTCTGGCCTTGAGGCATTCAGTATGGGAGCAGGGACAGACATGTCAGTTCAGTTCAGTGGGACAAGGCCTAAAGATGTACAGACAAGGCACCTTGAGCTTGTAGAGGAAGTTAGCTTCTACAAAGGGGGCGCTGCTTCCTGAGTTCTCAATAGCAATTTTGAGATGGCTATCAGAAAACACATCTCAGGCAGACCAAATAGCATATACAAATCAGAAGCACTGACCCAGCTCATGGTCTGTTGCAGAGCTATATATAATAGTTTCTGCATCACAAAGTGCACAGAGGGGTGATGACAAAGCTGTTAAGGCTGATGGAAGTCAGGTTATGAAGACCAAGAGAGTAAGGTGAAGGATTGCTATTTTGATAAGATATAGAAGCCATGAAAAATTTTAGTAGGCAAGGTGACAAAATTAGTTTGAATTTCTTTTGTGGTGGTGGTGTTGATGGGGTTTTATTTATTTATCTAGCTATTTATTTATTTTGGTACTGAGTATTGAACCCAGGGGCACTTAGCCACTGAACCACATTCACGATCCTCCCCCGGCCTTGTTTTTGTATTTTATTTTGAGACAAGTTCTCACTGTGTTGCTTAGGGCCTGACTAAGTTGCTGAGGTTGGCTTTCTCACAATCCTCCTGCCTCAGTCTCCCAAGTTGCTAGGATTACAGGCATGCACCACTGCACCTGGCCTAGTTTGCATTTTTGAAAAATTACCCTGGCAGAGAATGAAGAATGGGCTAAAGATTGAAGGTAACTAGAAAAAGACCTCTTCTATAGGAAAGGCCAGTTGTAATATACCTAAACTATCATAGGAATATAGAAAAAAAGGAAGAGACTGGTAAGAGAGATAATTCAGGAAGTTTTGATTGAATATGACTCATAAAGATGGGGAGGCAGGATGGATTTTTTTTCAGATTGAGAGATGACAGATAAAAAGCAGGAAGGGGGTAGGAGGGATTATAAATTTTATTTTAATATTTTTAAATATTTTTTAGTTGTAGTTGGACATAATACCTTTGTTTTATTTATTTATTTTTATGTGGTGCTGAGGATCAAATCCAGTACCTTGCACATACTAGGCAAGTGCTCTACCACTGAGTCACAACCCTAGCCCCAACTTTCATTTTAAATATTTTGAATTTCTAGTGATCATAGAATCTTCCAGATTATCTTTTCAAGTGTACTATGGAGTATACAACAGAAAAGGGAACCCATAGGGAGAATGAAGAAAAGGGCAGGGAAAGAGAATGGAATTCAGGAGAGAGGAGCATCCCAGATACCATGGGAGGAGAGAACTTTAAAAATACAATTAACTCATTGGGTCCATGTGTTCTACATCAAAGAATTCTACCAACCACAGATTGAAAATATTTAAAATAAATAATTGTTTATGTACTAAATATATACGGTAGTTTTTCTTGTCATTATTCCCTAAACAATACAGTATAACAACTATTCACATAGCATTTACTTTGTATTAGGCACTAAAAGTAACCTAGAGATGATTAAAAGCACACAGGAGAATGTGTATAAGCTAGATGCTAATGCTACACCATTTTATATAAGGAACTTGAGCATCTGTATATTCTGGAATCTGCCGGGGGGTCCTGGAAGCAATCCTCTTGAGATACTAAGCAACAACTGTAAGGAGTCACCAAGGTCAAGTGCTTTTGCAAGTTCAAAAGACACCAGGATTTCATTAGTGAGCCAGGCAGGAGCAGTGCTGGTGGCTTGGTGGGGATGGACGGGGAGGGGGGGCAGCAGGCTGGAGGGATTGAGGAAGTGAAGTGTGGGAGTGCATTCCTTCCAGAAGGTAGGCCTGTAACTGTGCCAGTCATGTTGGCAATTCTAGCACCAAGCACAGTCCCCAATTCAGCGGGGATACATAAAATTCATGATGATTTCATGAAGGGAGTGAGAGATCCCAACACTAGCTAAATCTGTTCACAAGATGCAGAGAAGGCTTTTGTATTTGGTTTCTTTTTATCTGTGAGATAATGGAGCATCTGTATTGTGCTAAGGGGGAAGGAGAGTGTGCTTTAGGATACAACCATGGTACAAAGTTCCTGAAGTAGGCAAGGGGGTGGCATCCAGATTAGGGTAGGACTGGGGTGAACAAGAAGGGAGAGGTGGCATGGGTGGAGGGTTTGTGAGGATGGATTCACAGAACTACCAACACCCTGATAGGTGATAGCTTAGAGTTTTTCTGCAAAATAAGGATGTCACACAGGAAGAATTGAGCAGGGAATGTAGGATAAGGAACCTAAGAATGCCTTTGGGTCCAGCTGTAGAGGAAAATGGAAAAAGTTAGTGAGTAGGGCCAAGAACCTTTTCATTGGCTGAATTAAGAAGTGAGGGAGAAAAAAAAGAAAAAGAAGTGAGAGAGCTTCAGCTCCAGTTCTACCCAGAACCTTATTCCTAAGGATGAAATTCTTAAGCCCACTTCTGTGATGCTGTAACTACACCCCTACGTTTGACCTGCCTCTTTGTGGTCTGGGCACATCCCTCTTGATTAAGGCTTTGGTTTTCCCCACTGGTAGCAAGGCAACTATATTCTAATAGAAACAAATGTGTTGAAATTGTTGGTTACATAGAAACAATATACCCAGGTTTCTATGGAGTACCGTTTTAGCAGTTTTTCCTTTTCTTCCAGAAGTCTACTATGCAACTGCATACTGGATACCTTCTGAAAAGTCGATAAAAGTCAAACACGTAATGGACAAGAGTGGGGATGCCTATGGCTATTACAATGACTCCATGGAAACCACAGGTTGGAGCATCCTGGAGATCAGAGCTGGGTATGGCTCTCAGGCTCTGAGCAATGAGATCATCATGTTTGTGGCTGGCTTTTTGGAGGGCTACCTCACTGCCCCGTAAGTACCCGAGTTCATGGAGCAATGGTCTGGCCACTTCTGTCCTTTTCTTGTTTGGCAATGAATCTTGTCTTCCTGGCATTGTGCATTAGGTCCTTTGCATGTGATTAAAAAAAAAAAAGTTATCAGAATTACAATTGTGCCTGGGTGTGGTGGTGCACAACTGTAATCCCAGCAGCTTGGGAGGCTGAGGCAGGAGAATTTCGAGTTTGAAGCCAGCCTCAGCAAAAGCAAGGTGCTAAGCAACTCAGTGAGACCCTATCTCTAAATAAAATACAAAATAGGGCTGAGGATATGGCTCAGATGTTAAATGACTGAGTTCCATCCCCAGTATCAAAAAAAAAAAAAAAAAGAATTACACTTGTATCCATAATCATACCTACCTAAAAGGTGCACTGGATCTCTTCAATTCTTATGGCACTTCCTTCTTAATCTTCCTTTTTAATGCAGTGGTTTTAAATGAAAGGGAGTCATTCCATTCTATTTGTCATTTGTTGTCTGGAAGAAAATAGATAAGAGGAGGAATGACTCCTTGAGAATCATAAAGCAGGAAAAAGATTAATTAAAAATAAAACGTAAGAGCATTTATTTTCAACCATCTTGAAACATCTTTAGGCAAAGAGATTTTTAAATTTAAATTAAAATCTTAATGAGTCTACTATAAATGTTCCTTCAAGTTCTATTGTTATGTGATTCTGGTGTCATTACTTTGTCTTATAAAAATAACAAGGATGTAGTTAATAATAATGCAATCAGGATATATGCTTTTTAAGAAAATAGCTCTAAGGAAAATAAAGCTGCAACTCATTTAATCCATCCTCAACACTTCTTGGATATAAAGTGTTTTTATGGCTTGACTTGGTTTCTTTTATTTTATGTGACCTAGTTATTAAGTGCACTTTCCAAAACTTATTTGGGGCTGTTACTACTGAGTCATAGTAATCGAGGTGCGGATCTTAATCTGCCTTGGAATATTACATCAGAAGTTAAGTGACTAGTTAATGGGCTCTGGCTACACTTTTTTTTTAAATTTAGGCTACAAAGTTCTGTCTTCATTTTTATACCTAATTTTTGTTCTTCTACTATGCCAGTCCTCTTAACAGCATACAACTCAAAGAGGTATAAAACTTTACAAACTGAATAAGATTCTAAAACATATTTAAAACCACATTATACCTATACAAAATCTGAACTTTTCCACTTCAGTATCCATGCTAAGTTCTGATTGTGCTATTTAACTTGAGTTGTGAGTTTGGAGAAATAATGCAGACCAAAGTCGTATGGATATAAATGGATTAGATTAACTCATTAATGACGTATACACTGGGTCATTAAGGGTCACACTGAGTTTGGAGCAGCTCTATCCTATGAAATGCTCTAAGGATGCACTTGTTCCTTGGATATTTCTTTTATTGTTTCTGCTAGAAAGAGTTCACCGGGTTTGAAACATCTCCTAATAAAGGTGGCAGTTCTGATATTCTTATGTTGTAGGAAAAAATAAGTTTTAATGTCTCAGAGCCAACGCTTTCGGGGGTGGCTTTATCATTTCACCTCCATTATTTATATAAAGCATTATCTTTGAGTAACTCTATTAGCCAAACAAACAAAGCCCATAGAAAAAGGAGCCATGTGAAGCTGGGTACGGTGACACATGTCTGTAATCCCAGTATCTCCCTAGGCTGAGACTGGAGGATCGCAAGTTCAAAGCCAGCCTCAGCAAAAGCGAGGTGCTAACCAACTCAAGGAAATCCTGTCTCTAAATAAAATACAAAACAGGGCTGATGATGTGGCTTGGTGGTCAAGTGGTGGAGTGTTGCTGTATTCAATCCCTGGTAACTCCCCTCAAAAAAAAAAAAAAAACAAAGCAAGAAAAAGAAGCCATATTATTAATAAGTTTTAAAAATACTTCATATTAACATAAAAATTACTTTTTATTTATTTAAAAAAAAAGACAGCTACCATTCCAAAACTATTCAGAGACCATTTTCTTGTTTAATTTGCCTTTTATATATTCACCAAATTTTGAAGGTTAAAACAAAAATGAAAAGCCCAAACACTTCCTGCCAATTATGGCTCAGGCTTTGACTCTGAGCCTGCCTTCCCTGCAGACAAGTGGCAACAGCTGACGGAGGATCAGGAGTGAGGGAGAGACAGGTTTGTTGGTCTGCCTAATACTGGAGTCAAGGGAAAACTCGTCCACTATTGGCAACATCGCTGCGGCAGACATAAATGCAAGAGAATTCTTTCACTGCAGTACTGCAGAGTTGAAGAGAAGAAAGCATCTAGAGGCCAGAAAAGAAGGTTTCGTGAAAGATGTGAGGCCTGGGTCTGGTGCTTGATAGGGTGAGAACCATGTGGCCAGGCTGGGAGGAGGGTGACAGAATAGAGCCCTGAAAGCAGGCCCTGAATCTGCAGTGAGTCGGTCACATTGACAATGAGCAAAGAGTGGAGGCTCCAAATGAGCAACCAGAGGACAAGAGGTTTAAAACACAAATGGCGGTAGCCTGGTGGAAGGCTTTGGATGGAGCCCTTTTCAGCAGTTACCATTCTCTGCTTCAAACACAGAGTGTGCAGAGGTTTCTTGAACTTGAAAGATGACTTCTGTGTTCACCTCTGTCTGATGTTTGTGATTGTGGTCGCTATTGGATGTGGAAAAGGAAAAACCCCAAGATAGTGTGGCCTGGGAAAAGGGAATGAGAAAGGAAGCCATACATTGATAAGCTTTCATTTCTCCCAAGATAAATCCTTCCCAGATGCTGGCTGCAGATGGGGAGAAAGTGTTTCATCAAACCTAGAATGATAGTCTCTGGGAAACACTAATCTCTTCCAAGATAACTCCTCTCCCAGTGCTGGACACGAACCACCAATCCAAAGACCCAAATTCCCCAGTACCCAAACTGACACACTCACTAAATTACTTACCTATGTAAGCTCAGTCCCCTCCTTTGTTCAGTGGCTCATTTTCTACCAGGAAAGTGGGTCCATACCCATAGATTTAGTACTGTTCCTGAATAAAAGGCTGAAATGATCCATGAATGATGCATCCAGCCCCATCTCTTTGTGCTAACAGTAGCACTCCCTGCTTTCTCAAGAATGGACTTCCCGTGCACAGGGCACCAAGAGCTGGAGAGGACTTCCATTCTGAAGAAGCTTTGATATAGCTCACTGGACAGGAGATGTTGGTAAACAGCAGCATGATAAGAAGTGAATGGGGTGGATGGAATAGAGAAGTCGATATGTAAATTAGAAGAAGGAGGAAGAGGAGGAGAAAGCCAAGGAGAGGATAAGGGAAGGCAGGAAGGAGGGAAAGAAGAAAGGAAAGAAGGAAGGAAGGAAGGAAGGAAGGAAGGAAGGAAGGAAGGAAGGAAGGAAGGAAGGAAATTAGGTCATGGAGAAAGAAGAACCGTAGTCAAAAACCATCTTTAGAAAAGTCCCATGAGATGCTATTCAAAGGTTGTCGTTCTAGTCTGAAAGGCAGATGTGGAGGGGAATTTCTGAAACAGCTTACACTTAAAGGCCCTGCTTTGTGCTTAGTTCAGAGCTAGGAACGCTGAAATGACCACTAATGACCAAGCATGCTTCTAACAGATCTCTGGCAATGGGTCGGGAAGGAGGCTATTCATTTCTTCTTCCTCCCCTAGGGTGGTCCAAGATACTAAGGCTCATTATACATTCTGATGTCCAAGTTTATTTCAAAGAAAGGGATATTCCCAGTGAAGTAGGCACACAGGGCTCACAGGGCCAATAGTTCCAGCAGAGACACAACAGAGGAGATGCTACGATTCACAGGATTGCAACAACCAGACCCAAGGCACCACCAAACACTGTGACGGTCAACACCAGAGCCCACTGTATGCCGTCCCAGCTGAGCAGCTGGAAGCAGCGTGACTCCCTCTGAGCAAAGTTATCCAGCACTCTGAAGCAAAGCAGAGGAGCTTAAAATGCCAACCACAAGAAAGCGAAAGCTATCACCACAAACCAGTAGTAGAGAAGGAATCCTGGTCACGGGCTAGGTGTTGTCATTGTTTATCCTGCTACACACAGGCAGTAGTGTACGAGTAGCAGTAGCATCTTCATAAACAAACATCGTTTATCAACTTCAAACGTGTACCGCCGGGGGCTGCTTTGCAAGGAATAATCTTCACACGCTAAAACACAGCCTTAGAGCAAGGGTGTCTGAGCCTGGGCTGGGAAGGTGAGTTTGCATGTGGGGACCAAAAGTAAGAGCCTTCTCTTCTCATTTTTCCCTCAGCTTTCACAATAGCACGTGCAGCCACCAAGAGCAGAGAGCAGTTTAGAACTTGCACATTTGTTCATTTTTTATTCTTGAGAAAAAGGAAAAAGGAGGTTTATTGCTTTGCTAGCAAAAAAGAAACACAGAAGACTCCTGTCCCAGAGGCTGTGATTCTGCCCATCAGCAGGAACAGAGGGCTTTTAAAGAGGCGATTCAAAGGCTACATTCCATGTGTTCTCTGTTGGAGTTGTAATTCACTTGCTGATTTTGGAGACAGTCATTTCTGAGATCTTCTGGTGCCATCCCCAAAGTCTAGATTATTTCCTTTCTATAGTGGGTGTATGCTCAAGGACAGATAAAGCTGCCTAAAATGGAAGAAAGGGAATTCTGTTTCTCCTGAGATTAGGGAAGAGCCGGGAGAGGAAGAGAAGCATGTCTATTTTAAAAATTAGTTGCACTGGTAGAGCAGCAAGGGCTACATTCAATGCATAAAGGGGGTTACTGTTACATTTCCTCCACAGTCAATTTCTACATTCCATTTCTATGGAAAAATGGGCAACAACATCTCCACGTTGCTTCCTGCTAAGAGAAGGCGAAGTTGGGGGATGTAACCCAAAGTAGGACTGCCACGTTTTAAAATGGCTTTAAATGCAGCACATTCCCACCTCTAAAATGGCTTTCTTTCTATATTGTCACTTTGGAGGCAGGAGGTGTGTGAGAAAATGGATATTGTGGGATGGACAACCAAGATGCTCAGATAAGAGGA